ATATGTAATGGAGAAAATATAGAACAATCTGTTTCTTCTCATGTACCAGTATTTTAAGCAATCTTATTTATAACTAAACCTAAAAAAAAAATAATAATAAAAATAAAAAAAAGTTGGTACTTTAAGGATTACAAAAGGCTGGTACTACATCTTTCAAATTAAAATTGATCAAATGACAGACTCCACATGTTAGGCCCTGTAAGACATTAAAAACAGATGATCGAGCCAGACTAGTGTAAATAAAATAACGATTAAAATCAGGTGGCACTTTGTAAAATGTTTGTACACCACAATCTAAAATAAGCATTCTTAGCTTCTTGATTTACTTTTCTTGATGTTGCTGGTGTTCACTATATCCACCACTACTGATTTTGTAGTTTGATTACCATCACAAACTCCAGTTGGTTACTAATCTCATGCGGTTTTGACTTCATTATTTTGGGAAACTGAGAAAAAGAAAATTAGGATGGATTCCATGACCGGAAACTTTTTTTACAGCATAAAATATCTGCTTGGAAAACCAGAACAATGGATACTTTGCCCAACCATGACAGAAACAGCAAGCATTCACATCTATGGATGAAATGAACCAGCCTATAAAAGGAAACGATTTAGAGAATATTTGTTTTTAACTGTGCAACCCCCCAGACCAGGGATCTGCAACAAAAATATAAAGATCCATTTTTTCCACTTTGCTTATACGATATGTGTGGAGCCTCAAAACCTGCTCCAACTGTGTACAGTCAAGTGGTGGCCCATGGACCACACGTTTGTTGGAGATGACTTTTCCAGCCAGTGGGGGTGATATTATAAAACAAAAAATGTCTAACTATTATTAACATGTATTGATTTATTTTTTTTTTTTTTACATTCTAGTACAAAAGACCAGATTCATGTAAAGAAAGATAAAATACATAATTTTTAACCGTTTAATAAAAAATAAACACTGAACTCTGCAGGCCGATGTGAGTTTTCTTAATTGTTGAAGAATTAAGTATCTTACTTAAAGCATAAAGTTAAAGACAGTATAAAATTAGACCAGTTTGTTCGATATCAAATTACATTTTTTAAAGAAAAAATAATACTGTTGTTTACTTTGACTTTGTTTTTTGTGTTTTATTCTTGGTGTTATCAAATATTCCTTCTCAGCAGCTTGTCTTAAAGATATTCCAGAACATTCTGCTGGTTTTGACAGAAAGATCACGCTGTGAGACTGGAAGTCGGCTTAAAGTGGCTAACAAGCTGCAAGCATGATGTAGTCCACACGTTTAATGTCTTGTTTGTACAATTTGAAAATTAATCTGCTAAAACTAGCCATTTTCATTGTTGGTAAGAATTTAAACAAAATTCAGGTTTATTTTAGTTTTGGTCAAAGCCTGAAAGAGCCTCTGCAGAGGTACCAAAGAGCCACATGTGGCCCCAGAGCCACAGGTTGCAGACATGTGCCCCAGACAAATCAGATTTGGGGCGCCTGCGGCTGAGTGGTTAGAGCAGTCGTCCTCCAATGCAAGA